GTGGGGGAACTTGCACAATCGGTGGCTGACTAAATACTTCTTTGCCCCACTGTATATATACAATGAAAAGTGAAAATAACTATAGCGATTCAAATGCAATACAATCTCCATAAAAATTTAATCCACAAATTAAGCAAACTAAAAAGCAACCACACACAGAGACACACACGTTAGCTTTTCTGAAGAGTGCACTGGTTGACACTGACTAAAGAAAGATTCTGATCCAGCTGACCAAACTAACTTTGACCAAATCTTTACCTCTGGATTTACAGACAATAATTCAGAGGTAGATAAATAGAGAATAAACTCAAAGAATATTTCTCTTTGCTTTTAATTGCATGTAAATGTTTGCCAATGCCACTTATTTCCTACAAATGCAACCTAAAGTTGTGTGTTTGTATGTGTGTGTGTATGGTGTGGTCATATGGTTCCAGTATCCTCACAATTCATAAATGACATTTTCATAGGTTTTACACTTTCTGAATAGCAACCATTTTAAAGGTAAGCAGCAGCTGTTTGTAGTGACTTCAGATGTGTGATCAAATAAAGATATTTTATAGCAACAATCAGAACAAATATATATCCCTTTATAAAACGAACAGGAAGTAATTTGTAGTAACAAAGATTTACCACAGGGTGGCAGTCTTTAAACACAGACTGCACTGCTTGATTTTCAAACCTGAACATCTCCATTAAATTTTATAATGTTTGACAGTTCGATGTGATATCTGGAAGCATAAAGAACCCAAATTAGAATTTTCTGTGGCCTGATTCGATATACTTACTTTAAGAAAGAAGTAAGAATTAGCCTACAATCTTTCTTTAAATGGTGGAGAGTCCCAGGCATTTAAACCCCAGTGGCACCTGCCCCTTATCTTAAAACATGTAGTTATCCTGACTGGGCTTTCATTAAATCAGCAAAGATACACAGGAAAGAATGTCGGACACCAACTAGGGAGAAACAGAATGACAAACAGAACAACATTGTCATCCCTTATATAGCAGCTTTGTCGGAGAAACTGAGGAGGTGTTTTGTTTTGTTTTGTTTTTCCCGAGCACGTCATCCCGGTGCACTTCAAACCCAGCCAATGTTCAAATTTTTGGACAGAGAAGACAGATGGTCTGAAAGAGCAGTGAAAGAGGCCCACAACACAGGGGGTGGCTTACAACACCAACTGTCGGCTACCCACAGGGAAGTTTTGAGATCTCTTCTCAGGTGGCTCAACTCCCACTATCGTCTTGTGCCAGGTGACCCTGGACCATCGCGCTAGGAAGACCATCTTATATGTGATACCCTGCAAATGGTTTTACCCAATATTGATGACAATTATTCCAAGTATACTGCCACAGTGGTGAATTAGATTTTTTCCCCTCCCACTCTACTGTACTAACCTTTGTATGAAGTAAAAAAAAAAGTTTTGTTTAAAGTTGATTTTTATTGTTAAAAAGCTCAAAGCAAGTACCTGAAATATGTCTATCTATATAGACATATTTCAGGTATAATTACTCACTATTTATCAATCCAAACAAAAATCACAGGTCGATTGCAAAACAGTTCTGTAGAAAGTACCTTATGAAGTGCTGCATCCCATTCAAGTCTCATTCTGAGACTGAAGCATTCCACAAGTCATAAAGCCATTTGGCTTGTCTTGACTTCTTGTAGCTGGTTTTATAATAGTCACAAACATTAGCAGAGCTTAACTACATACAGAAGATAAATACAGAAGGATACACAACCACAGAAGTCTGTCACACATGATATTATACATCACTTTAGTGAGACTATTAAGTAAAACAGCCTGCAAAATATCACAGCTATAGAAAGGTTATGTCATTTTCATGTAATAATGTGCCCCAGTCTTCACTTCTAGTGAAGCTTACCTGTTGAATGATCAGAGTATCTGAGTCTGTGTTGGTTTTGGCTTTGGGAAACATTTTAGCATTTTTAAAGATACTTAAACATTTTCAGTTAAAATCACCCTAAATGCAGCCATGTCCTTAAGATTTATGAATCTATGAACAAAACGAAACACTTCTACTGAAATACCATCAACATTTGTCATGATTTCGACTTGGCTTTGAAACTTTTTCTAAGCATCTGTGAAACATATGCTCGGAATTCAGCAGTCTGCAGTGTTAGTATTAGTTTTGTCAAACTGAATCAAATATCTTCCCCAAGTAATAGAGGCTGGAGGAAAAGGCCAGCTGTTCCTAGGATGCACACGAGCACAAAAACCCATAGGAAGATCCTGTCGATAACCATGGCAACATATTTCCAGTCATCTTGAACCTATGAGAGGATCAAGACAAAAACATGTTCAATGTCACAGCAATATTGTAATTCTTTATTTGAAAGCTGTATGACATTAAATGGTTTTAGCCTTGCTTTTTTGAGTACTCACCTCCTTTGCTTCATTCTGTAGTCTCATATTTTCTGCTATGTATTTGACACTCTCAATAGCTTCCCTGACCTCAGGAGAAAGACACAGAAGAGGCATTATTCCTCCATCCAAAGACTCTGAGCTGGAGCATTGACTCCCCACTCCAACACCCACAGCACTGCCTCCACTCAATGGTCCTAGGCTGCTCAGTCCTCCACTCCCTCCTCCAGAATCTGCAGGCAACTTGCCGGTTCTCTTCTGCCAGCAGCAGTTGCAGCGGCCCTCACAGCACAAGAACCCAGAGCTAGGACATTTGATCGAGTCTCCACCCAAGTTATTGAGATTGGAAAGCTCTGTGTTATTAAAAAGTCTTTGCCGGTTTGTTAAACTTGACACCAAGCTGTTGGCAAGGGCCTGAGGTTTGTGCTGCTTTTGTAGAGTACCTAATGAATGAATGGCGCAGGATTTCGAATGCATCGTCTGAACGCTGCCAGCCACAGTCACCTTCTCAGGATCTCTCTCTGGCCTGGTCATGAACATCACCCTGGGCAGCAGTTCAAGAAACACACGCTTTACCCAGCAGGGCATTGTATGTGTCTTCGGGGTGCGGTAGTGGACGTTCAACACAAAAACAGTAATGACAATAGAGAGAGTGACAAAAATCATGGTGAAGAGGAGGTACTCGCCAATCAAGGGTATCACTAGTGAGGTGGAAGGGATGGTCTCTGTGATGACGAGGAGGAAGACGGTCAAAGACAGCAGGACAGAGATGCACAGTGTTACTTTCTCACCACAGTCAGAGGGCAAGTAGAAGACGAGCACTGTGAGGAAGGAGATGAGGAGGCATGGGATGATCATATTGATTGTATAGAAAAGAGGGAGACGACGGATGTACAAAGAGTATGTGATATCAGTGTAGATCTCCTCGCAGCAGTTGTACTTAATATCATGTTTGTAACCAGGTGCATCAATGATCATCCACTCGCCTGTCTCCCAGAAGTCCTTGAGGTTAATAGTTGAGCCAATCAGCACCAAGTCGATCTTGGCTTTGTCATAGGTCCATGAACCAAATTTCATTGTGCAGTTTTGGTAATCAAATGGGAAATATGTGACATCAATCTTGCAGGAGCTCTTGAAGATAGCTGGAGGGATCCAGGTGACATCGCCATTGTAGCGAAGCAGGGCCTTTGTTTTGTCATCAACCTGGAAATCTCCAACTGCGCTGTAGAAAAAGACAAAAGAAGAGTGAGAATGGAACATTGAAAGGAAGGACAGTAAAAGACAACTGAGCCACTGAATACTAACCAGATAGATATAAGCAACTATTGAGTTATGAAAATATCAATTAAAAAGATGCCCTGGGGTTTCAGTAAATGCACCATGTGATGTTATGTATAGCTTCCCTAAGAATCTTCAAAAGAAGAAATGACCCATGCTGAATGAACAATGTAGATCGATAACATTTTGTTACTGTACAGAAATCCTTTGCAGCAATAAACAATCAATGAAGACTCTGTGCCAGGTTTTTGTTATTATGCTCACTTGTTGTACAGCACAATGTCTGGCTTCCAAATCCTGTTGGACGGCACTCGGATAAACTCGACGCCTCCGAAATCTTTTGGGTTCCATTTAAGTTTATAGTCATTCCAGATCTGAGAAACAAAGCAGAAAAATTTCTTTTACATAAAAAAACGTCTGAGAATTAACAGGTATGAGTTTCAGAGTCAATTTGATGCATGTGTAAAGTGGTTTTAAATCAGTTTTCTGGAGATCTGTTTGGTTAGATTAAAGCTTGAAACAGAATGTGACAGTTCAATAATTACCTTCCACCCTGTTCATTCAAAATGTTTTTAAACATATTTAATCGCTAGAACATATTAATTACAAAAACATCGGTATGTTAAAGAAACAACTAATACAAAGCAGCAGTTGGCGGTATATCAAAAGAACTAGTCTATAGTCGTGTCACAGTAGGATTTTGGCATGAATGGAAATGTCAGTAAGCCAGCATGTATCATAATAAGTATTATAGCCTATCTTTGTGATAAACTATAGTGAAAAAACACAGTGTTAGCCATGGAGGTGCGTGCTGAAAAGTTAAAAAAAAGTTAATATAATGAGTCCGAAAATGCTTCCTCCTGGTAATTATCTCTTGTCAGTTTTTATATGCATTTGCTTGTAAAATGCTCCACATAAAATAAAGAAATAATGTCATTATCTCCAAAGGTAGCACATAAACACAAGGATATATAGTACACGTGTGACTTGAATCACACTTTATAGCGTGTTTTATGGATCTTTTGAACACTGTTCATCAGGACGGCCAGTGATCCTCATGAGGATCATGAAACCAGTACATCAAAGCAACCCCAGAGAGCTGTAAAAAATTTGACTTAATTACAAAACAGCATGTATCCAGAGTGTGTTGCAAGATGGGATGGAGAGCAGGAGAAATGTGTCTCGCCCCTGATCAGTATTTCCCAGAGATATACTAAAAACAACAGATGAGATTAACATAAGAGAAGCAATGCTCCAGCCCTGAACTCCTAAGAACAATTAAAGCTCAACATTTAGTAGAAGACTGGCTCTGTCACAGATGTGTGCTTGCTCAGTACATGTAAAATTGGAACAGGAGACCCGCCCTACCTCATCTGACTCATTACTAGTTCATTGCACTATGCAGCATTGCAAAAAAAGAAAAATAGCGGATAATCACTGAACTTTCTCTTCCAGATTCACTTTAACTGTACGAACCCATAATGGATGAATATTCCATATTCGGATATTCTAGATTTCTTAACTACTGTCATTGCATTAAAATGCAAATTGGTTATGAAATGTAAGTGCATTCAGTTTATTTGATTTTTTTTTAAAAGAAAATATGATCACACGGATCAATGTGTTTAAAAAGCTTCCTCCTATGAATAATTCAACCTGTCAGTCTAGCTCCAAAGAATCACGCATGACAGAAGGTTGGATCTAGACTTGATGTCCTTGCTCAAGGTCTGTTTGCACAGTCTTGAACAATAAACTTACATGTCTCAGCCACAGATTGGTCTCCATGATCTGATTGACTTCATCCTGAGAAGAGGGTAGAAGATAATAGATAATGAGGACACTGAAGCAGAGAAAACTAAGTACATGTTATTAATAAAGTTAAAACAGTAATAATAACTGTCACAGGCAATCATCCAATTCACTGCTGAGATTTTTGTCTGTGCTTCTGTAGCATCAGCGCAAAAGGTTTCAGAGATCTGCACCTGAGTCCCGCATGCCTGGAGCATAATACACATGACAGCTGGGGCTTGTAGGTCGCAGCCTTTAACTTTTTTTTTTTTTTTTTACTAGCAATTCAGTGATACAGCTGGAGCAGAGGGACTAAAGATGGGAGACAAAACAACTTAGGGTCAGATTTCTGTGTGACTTAGACCGTGAATGAACCAATCTCATGACTGAGCGCAAACATTAACCATTCATGTGACCATCTTGTATCCAGAATAGCCCTTAGATTCAATGGTTGACAGAAGGCTTTAGTTTAACCTCTTCTGAATATCTTTGGGAGAACAGTTATTTCATGTCACTTGGATAGATAAGACACACACTCTGTGGTTCATAATTAAATCACTCAAAATCCTAAAAGACGCAAAATAATTTTTTGTAGTCAAAATCAGATGATTAAATTAATATTTGCAGATTTTGTTTTAACAAGGATGCAGAACTGAATGTTGGTTGTAGATCATATACTACATCTACTATCTTTAGCAGAACAGCCTCTGAGACCAAAATGCACATTGCCATTACCAAGTGATCATGTGGTTTGATCCCTGATTGTGAGATAATGTTAGTTTGCCCAGCCCATAAGGTATTGATGCTCTAAATTAGCTCATATAGCCATGTTGGAGTTGTTGAAGGTGAACCAAATGCTTCTGAGTTTGGAGCACCAGGTGTGCAGAGGGAATAACAGTCATCCATCAGCACTCTAGCTTGGCTTGCTACTTTAAATGAGTTAAGGATCATGTAACAAAATATCTCTCTCTCCATATCATCATTGTCTGGTCAGACAGATCTTTAATATTTATTTAGATCCTTTGAAAAAATAAAAACACCTTGTTTGCACAGAGGCAAAAGAAGATGCATAAGGTGTCACCTCATGGTTACTAGTTTATACACAGTGAAATAATGTTACCTATTTTTGACCGGCATTTTCTTTCTGTTAGACCATTATAGCACCAAAGTATTGTTTGATATAAAGGGTTAAAAGAGAGCAATGGTGCAATAAGGGTAACAATAAAAGAAAAAAGAGGCAAACACTAAAAAAAAACATATTCCTTAAAAAAGCAAATAAATAGTACATTCTGTATTTCCAAACAATTTATTGTGTGAATGAAGCTGTATTGCTTGCCAAACAGTCCTTTGCTATGCTTATTATCACCACCTGCGCTCAACCTGTCTGCGTCAAGTGACACAGTCGTCTGTCTGGAACGGCAGTCTGCAGTCAACAAACTCTAGCAGAGAAATCTAGGAGTGCCCATCTGAAGTGGCAGTGACTGAGTGATAGGGGGTGCCTGAGAGGTACTCAGACAGCTGACATTTCCCATCTTGTCTTGGCCAGAAAAACAGCCCAATTGTCCGCCCTTTCATCTAGGTCCCAGGAGCTACTGTGTAACGTGAGAGGGTATCTCAAGCTTATGATACGGTGTCTAAATTACCACCTTCCCCTAAATTTTGCTTCAGTAAAAGTCTGCAAAGCAGCACACAAACTATATCTTTGAGATGGAAAAACACAAGTTTTAAGCCTTGTATACACACAGATCTTCTACAATTTCTACTCTTTATAGGCGAGAGTAATCTAAGGTCATGTTTATTAAGCAGAGTGATATTTGTTTTATAGAGGTGAAATAGCTGCCCCATAAATCACAAACACTCCGGGCATCAGCTCCGACACTGAGGAAAAACATTTTCTTGCTACTTACCACTTTGACCAGCTGTGACATGGACACCTCAAACTGCACAATGACTGGATCAGATACATTTTCCACCGGCCGTATATACTGGTTGTAGTTGGAAAATATCCCAGAGAAGAGCTTATGCTCTGCATCTGAACATGTGCCTCCTGGACAGGAGCACAATATCAGCCATGGGAATCTCACTGTATATTTAAATGATTATACAGTTTAACTGTGATCTATTTTTTTTCTGCTTTACCATTTACCACCCAAAGTAGAACTCTAAATTTGACAGTTTCACAACCTTTTTAGTCATTTTTTAATTTCAAGTTTTTTTCTTTCTAACTTGAGTGATTTGGCATCATTCTTAACACAGTATGTCTCTTACAGAGAACAGCAACTACAGCAACATATTACTGTTATCCTGATTGTATAAGATTAAGGATTTGAACACATGCATGATTCCTTGATGCACTGCATTAAATTTTACATAACCCAATAGACGTAGCCTTCAAAAATAATTAGATCTATTGCTTTTTTTTTGCTTTTTTTTTTACATTTCCCTAAAGCAACAAGTAGATTTCATGCTACCAGCTTCTTACTCACCTGACAGAAGACACAGAAAGAAAGCACAGGGACCAGATAAGAAGTGAAACCTGGTTTTCATCCTATTCAAATTGACAAATGCCAGATAATTCCAGGGTCAGCTGCAGCAACGATCCACGGAGCACACAGGAGGAAAGTGGAGGAATAAGAGCTTGTCCGCATCACCCGACAGAACGAGCGAGCAGAGGGAGCGAGCGAGTGAGGGAGGCAGAGCCACACTGAGGCATACAACCAGTCACAGTCAGGAGCCATGCACTGCAAAAATAATAATACAAAATATGCAGAATATAGCGACTTAATCGGGTAAACGGGGGTAAAATGTTGAGTGGTGCAAATCTTTCACCTCCAGTCACACCATTGGATGGTCAGCTTCCCAAGACTTAACAGCCATTGTCCTTCATGTCTGACACACAGTCACATCACCCCAAACAGCAACGGATCCAACTGAAATTATCTCTCTGGAAATATGTGTAGTTATTTAATCCATGAGTGGACACCCCACCCCCGCCTCCCCCACCCATTCTGCGCCGGCTATATAACAACAGTTAAATCACAGACGAATTTTGTTTAGTTAAAAACATTTTGCATGTTTCTGTCATGTCTGGGTGCTGTGAAGCAAACATTTTTGGCAGACAGTTGACCCAGGTGGTGTTCACACAAATTCATATTGAATTAAGAAACTACATTCAAGCAAGTTCAATAGCCTCTGTGCCACTGGGTTTGAGTTTGTCAGATACTCAGTTGAGATAGAGTTCTGTCCTTCATTTTTGTCTTCTTCTTCTTTCTAGCTGTCCAGATTTGTTGTATTTTTCATTTTGCCCAGCTGTGTTTCGCAGTGGGTCTGTCATTCAGACCTTCTTTTCAGCTGACGTCTAACCTGGGGTATATACTTTGAGATGAATGAATCTATATCAGGGCCAGGGATACTGTTTGATTTCATTTCAGCTTTTTTTGGTTTCAATGGAAAGAAAAGTGAGTGCTGGGAATTAATACAGGATTATATAGTATATTTTCAAGTGACCTTCAGAAAGTTTGATTCAGGTAGAGCAGAATTTGTACACATTCTACACATAGAAAGCTTTTACCAAGGCTTGGGTAATTCAACAAACCATATTTAATGATAAATATCTCTAAATCAGTTATAAACTAAATCAGTTTTTTTTTTTAAAAAACAGACTGAAGTTGAATTTAAGAATTCAAGAGTGGATCTTTGCCTTTTTGAGGACTGCAGTGTATTAAATCCTCTTGGGAGACACAAGCATTAAAATAAATACTCTGCTAAATATATTTGCATATGTATCCTAATGACAAAAAACTGCTGACATAAGGCTTGGGAATGATTGTTGAAAACAAAACTCCTTTGGGTCTGAACCAGAAGAAAGATTTTTTATGGATATGTGCCGTGGAATTGCAACATCCTGCTTCAATAATAAATGGAAGTTAACAGGCGCATGAAAAAAACAGTTAACCATTTGGAAAAACTGTAAACTAAGATTAAAATAAAGCCAGTCGATCCATAAACACAGATGTTTATTGCTATCTCTTGATTTACATGCATGGCTCACAAAATACCCAAAGTCTGCAGAACCTTTAATGAGCACACTCAGCACTGTTTAGTGAGCTGTAAGCATTGTGTCGTTTCATTTGTGTGTTAGTGTAGGTTGCGTTTGTCTGCTTTGTTTTATTCCATTTATGTGTGTGCTTACAATTGCCCATCTGTAAAAATGAGCACTTATCAAAGATTTGGTGCTTTTAGTGTCAATGCACAAATGAGCCTTCATATTACTGCAGCATGAAACAAACAAATTCTAGAGTATCTCTTTTTTTCTTTTCTTTTCTTTTTGTTTATTTAGACCCTTGATATATATATAAATTTAGGAGAAATAGTTACTAACAGTTACATGTCAGTGATATGGAATGGCTATGGAAAGTACTCAACCTTAAAACACCGCAATAAAGACCAGCTCTAAAAGTTTTGTTGTGTCAGTATTTTTTGCGTTGTCTTGCTTTTTTTTGCACTGAGAGTGAACAACTGTTTTATCTATATGATAAACCATCCTAACTGGCTCACCCTAAATGAACACATTGGCTCTGATCTTTATCACCAGCAGTACAGATTAAATAAGCACATTGGCAAAACCCTGACATCTTTAAGACTTTATAGGCAATTTCATGCATTTAATCAAACTAAAAGAGCACACAGCTCTTCATTGTATTTCAGTGACACAGTAACACAGATGACAGGTCACACTACATCTGAGAGCAGTCATACAGTATATTTATCACATTATGTATATTAATGCAAGAGTTCAGCATACTTCAGTGCAGTGAAAGCTACACCCATCCTTTGAAGAAACAGCAGCCTCAGTGAATGATGCTGCATTTTAACATATGCAAATGTAACTATTCCTTAACATATTGGGTGATTTATTGTTTTAGGGCATATTTTTTTAAATACTATATGATAATAGGTGGCTTTTATTTATTTAGTACCATACCTTACATGTTTACAAGTACTTTCTCAAACCCTCTGGGTACGATTTGGCACAGACGACATTGTATCAGTGATTCTGTTACCTGCCAGCACAGTGCTAAGCAAAAACTAAAAAGACATCAAAACTTTTACAAGCCTCTATACCCTCATACATAATATTGTCCTAATAGCACAGTTTCTTATGAAAACCCTGAAGTAGCTCAGTCTTTCTGTATGAGGATCAAATGCGAGGAATGTCCGAACTGGGCACATGGTTGGCAACAATCTGACTCTGGAAAAGAGGCTGGAGAAACAGGCCCAGGGTTCCCACCACACACACTATCACAAAGATCCACAGAAACAGACGATCCACTACCATGGCCACATACTTCCAGTCCTCTATAACCTGCAAAAACACAGAAATCAATAAAATAATTTCAGTTAGTCAATGTACATGGTTCTTCGTGCTGATATTTTTTTCAAAGTATAATATTGCAGAGCAGTAAGATTAATTAATACTGTTAGAACGTGTTGAAATATAGAAACCAAATGAAGACAATAAATAAAAAAGCAAATGCTTGTTAGTTTTAATGGGAACACATAATATTCTATAAAACGTTTCTTCATGCATTTCATGGAACAAGGTAAAACCCTTAAAGGATCGGTCTCCATAGTGCTGCATTCTGTACATTGGAATATCTATTGACCCTTTCACCTCATCATCAGTGCTGTCTGTAGTGGTTCTTGAAACGAGCTATTTCTCATTCCTGGTTTCCTCCCTATTGATCTGTTATTGATTTGCTGGTATCTATTGATTTGAAGGGAGAAAGTGAATGATAAAATCAAAATCTGCCTTCAGTTTGGTGAGTTACAGCCACTACTTAGGGTTAGTAGTTTTCCCTCCTACACCTCAAGCGTCCTGGAGTGTGAGGAAAATGTTATAATTTGAGTACAAATGGCTGTGACCCAGTTTATTGTGACCAGGCTACGTGCTGGCATCTGACACCTGATATATTATATATAACAACAACAACAAAAATAGTTCCATATTCTGTTTACCTCACCTAATGAATGAATTGGAGGTAGACTGCAATTAACTTCATAATAAATGTGGTTGAACTAACGTTATTTCCCCAGGCAAAACTGGTGATAGCAATAATGGCACTGTAGACAGATTGATGGTGATGCTATTCCCACAATAGAGGCCCATCAGGACCATCATATTATTCCGTTGAGCATCCACATCTGTCAAGTTTCTCCACAGGTTGCCTTGTCACTGTGTTGCACTGTTGTTGCTCGTGACATCTTTACAGCACACAGCTTATAACCGATTGTTTCTTTTATGATATTAACATATGCAACCAGAGTAAACTTAAAAACTGCACCTTATTAATAAATTTCTTTGTAGGTAGATATTTAAACTTTAGGGCCGAAGTTGTTTACTTCTGCTGCCACACATGGTAAGCTAAGCTAATTGCCTTCTGGGTCCAGCCCAAATGTTAAACTCTGGGGATTTTAAAGAAAAATCTAATAAGATCCCAAATGCACAAGTTTAGAGCAAAAACTATGCTTACAGTCTGGACCCAAAATAATTGGTCTCTGTCGCTGGCTAAGTTATGAGTCCATGACAAAGTATTTTCTGTATTTTTTTTAATAATTCATCAGGTTAAGTTTATAAAGTTTGCATTCTAATGGGGGAGGCCTTTGAGTAACAGTTGGATTGCCAATACATACAGTAACTGACAGCAGACGTCTGCTAGGCTCCACCTGAGTTAAGCTGAGACATTGAACTTGACCTTTTGTGTTAGAGCCTTGTTGATCCTTTTTAATTACACTATCATGACTCTTAATTGTACAAGGAAAATATATTTTTATATAAATGGTAAGACAGCTGTAGAACTGGCAAGTACTAAGCATGCTTATGCTTAATATTTTAAGGCACAATACACACTCAAAAAGCAAACGAGTTATACTGTATACGTACTGCTATAGTAACAAATATTAAAATAGCTACAGTCACTATATAGAATATGAAATAATAGCCAGGTGAAATATGTGCTACAAAAAGTATACATACACTCTGATCATCATCATCTCCCATCATGTGTTCAGCCACAAAGCACACCCCATTCACTGCCTCCTGGATATCAGCAGCCCAGTCTGAGTTGTCCCTGTGTTGGAAGTCCTGGGTGGATGTGAAACTAGTGGGAAGGAAATCAGTAGAGCGCTGGTCTCCCTTCCTATAGGAGTGACTGTATCCTGCTGGAGGAGTTATATTTTTGTGTCCTGGTGTAGAGAAGGCAGAGTCTGAAGACAGCAGCGCAGAAGCTGACATGGTGATATCTGCCTTGGATGCAACTGGATATCCCAAGCCCAAAATGGTTCTTTTAGCTCTTAAGCATCGATGCTGACGCAATCTTTGGCGTGCAGATTTGTTATGAGGGCGCCTCATGAAGAGTAAAGCAGGCAATTTCTCAAGAAATATCAGCTTGACCCAAGAAGGCATGGTATGGGTGCTAGGAGAGCGGTGGTGCACGTTGAGCACGCACACACTGGTGATGATGGAGAAGGTCACCAGGACCATGGTGAACATCAGGTACTTGCCAATCAGGGGAACATCTAATGATGTTGGAGGAACAATCTTTGAGATTAAAAGCAGGAACACGGTGAGGGCCAGAAGTACAGAAATGCACAGGGTCATCTTCTCGCCACAGTCTGAAGGCAAGTAGAAGACTAGAATGGCCAAAGAGGTGATCAAAACACATGGAATGATGAGGTTTATGGTGTAAAAAAGAGGCTTCCTCTTAATGATAAAGTCATATGTCAGATCCACATAAGTGGGATCCAGAGGGTTGACAGTCCGTCTCCCTGGCAGAGCTAAGATATCCCACTCTCCACTGGGAGTAAAATCATCCATACTAGCCATCTCAGACTTTAAGATCAGGTCAATCTCTGTATGGTCATATGTCCACGATCTGAACTTGAGAGTGCAGTTCTGCTGGTCAAAGGGAAAATGTTTGACTTCGATTTTACAGGCGCTTTTATAGATAGCCGGAGGAAGCCATTCGATGCTGCCGTTGAAAAGGACGATGACATTAGTGAACACCGTTACCTCATAGGTTCCGTCAGCACTATGAGAAAGAGAGGAAATAGAAATAAAACAGCATATGAATTGGCCTTTAAAGCTATCATTATCAAAATTATAGAAATTTACGGTAAAGCTATTTTTAATAATGTGTAATAGTGGCATTAATTATTTTTAATAAGAAGATAATTGTTAAAGATTCAGTTAATCACTAAAGCAAATGCATAGACATTCATTAATGCAGACAGCTGGTAAATATATTGATAGAGGACAGAAACCAGGAGGGTGAAAACATGAAATATAACTTACTCTATGATATGACTGACTTTTCACTTTTTTTCATTTTATTTATTCATTTTACAATAACGCTGTTACAGTTCCATCCAGAATGTTTGATAAGGGCATCAGAGGATATTTACAAATATTTTACAAATTAATAATATCTTTTTTATTTAACACCAGCAATGTGCAGACAGAAACTCTCTTCAAAATACAAACTGAGAAGTCAGCCGAGCTTACTTGTTGTACAGGACAATATCCGGAAGCCACACATGTCTGGAGGGAATGCGCAGTTTGACAATACCTTCATACTGTGCAGGATCCCATGACAACCTGTAGTCCACCCAGTGCTGGAGAGACAGAGGGACCCAACCATTCAGTGCACTTTCCCAATAGCAGTTCATTTATAATTACATGCTACATTATCTGTAAATTATGTTTGGGGCACAATTACAGAAGCGGTTTGTTCCACATAGAGAGAGGAAGAATGGATACGGATACGATTCAAGTTCAAGATGAAGGACATTTAACACACATTCTCACTCAGTACAAGACAAAATGCTTCATCACACCTACCTGAGTGAGCCAAACATTTGTGGTCATGATCTGTTCCCTTTCATTCTGAAAATGAAATATTAGGGGGAAATTACCTATATTGGTAATACAAGTTTAAGACCCAGACACTGGCCCTAGAGAAGTAGGAACTCGTTTATGACATTTACTCTTTTTATATTTTTGTTTTATTTAATTAAAACATGAAGAGCTGAAGACCTATTGGGGTATATTAATGTTTAAACAAAAACTGGAAATTATATGCTTCTGCAATTTTATTTAAAAAATAAAAATAAGTCCTATACTGATTTGAGTCATGGTTGGACCTTCCTGTTTACTGTCATGTTTACTCTGGTTAAAAGTAACCTTTAAAAAAAGAACTGCACTGCACAAGAACACTCCTTTCATCTCAGATTGCTTGTTAACATGTTTTTGATTGCACTGTCATCAAACTGCCGTGACATACACTTCCAATAAAGTGACACCAAATGGTAATTACCCCAAGGGGTACAATGCAAACTCATAAACAGAAGCTGTGAACGAGCCTTGCTGCTTTAGTCTGCAGCTGGGAGGACCCTCCACTGTAATTCAGAGAAGAGCCTCTATCACTGTGGCCAAAACAGTTTTATGGCCCCTTTTAATCCAATGTGCTGAAGTTTCAATCTGGACATGACAGAGGCAGAGATCACGGCTGACCAGATCTATCCTCAGCTTCATCCATCCATTTAGAGCTATGGCTCTTCAGCAGAGCTTGCTCTTTAATTAACTACTTCCTCGAAGCTCTTTTTTTTTTGTCTCTTGCTGTGTGCTTTCTATTAGCCGCCATCTTTCACACTTAATTTCTCTTTATATCCTGTTGTGTCACCATCACAAAGTCTCTAACAAAAAAACATAGAAATATACATAGAAATGTAAATAAGTATACATACTTCTTAACAATGGGCAAGAGTACACACTTACCACACTGATGAGCTGAGCCAGAGACACTTGCAGCTTTACTGTGACTCTCTCGGTTCTGTTGACAGCTGGGCGAATGAGGGGATTGTAGCGATCTTTTCCCAGCAGCCAGTTCATGAGCCGCTCTTCGGAGTCAGCGCTGCTGCTACCTGGTGACATCACACTTTTCTTCAACATTTATGTACACACATCCACCTCACCTCGGTCCAGACAACTTAATCCCAATAAAATGGAGAGACTATAATCTCAAACAGAGATTGGAAAACAATCTTTAACAGCTTTAGATCAATAATAAAGAGGAATGAATGAGATCACATTTTTTAAATACATATATTTTATATAGATATATTACATTATAAATAATCTACAATATACAGTGTAATACACAAATCAGTTAAAGACAAAATACCTTATTTAAATACAACAGAAAAAAATTAAGACCACATTAAACAAGGTAGTAGGAAATGGGCATTTTAGGTGAAAAGAGAGATTCATTTTTCTCTATTATTGTTGTACTTTCAGTGTACAGTATTTAGAAACAAAACCTTTTTTTTTTTAAAGTGTAAATCGAAAGATTTCTTTTAAAACTGTGTTAAAAGCTTGTATTATTAAGTTTGTTAGGTTTCTATAAAACCTCATACATGAAAGCTACACTATTTAATGGGAAGTTGAAGATTAGGGATGTGATTGGTTTTGTGTTTTTAGTAAAAATGCTTGAACTGATGGTGCCACAATACACAATCTACCACCCTGGCATGAACACACTTACT